CTCACCCTACCTCACGGATTTCCTTCTTCGTCGGTAAAGGTGCCCACTAAGGGCTTTCAAGAGCGGAGCTAATAATCAAAAAACTGTTCATAAACAGGCCGTGCGTGACCGGCCTCAAGCAGTTGTCCCTTGGGCTCCGCGGTCACGCACCCAGGTCTCTAAGACCAACGCTAATCTACCTTCCTTTTCAGGTTCCTCAAGAAACAACCTTCCACGGTGTGGGCAGCCAGGAAGTGACAACCACCCTCATACCCATAACAGCAACACGAGACCGAATTGGTCAAAATCAAATCCTTCCTACACCCCCTAATACCTCTCTTATCTCCACAACTAACTCTTCTCACATTCCCTTATCTCACTGCACCGCTAATGCAAACGATGCGAGTTCACGAGACGTTATTTCTGGTCTCTTGAAACCCCGTTATAGACTACATGTTGGAGCTTTTAATGTACGGACATTGTGTCGAATAGGGCAACAGGCTTCCTTAGCTAGGACTTTAGAATCTCGCTCAATCAATATGTGCTGCGTCTCGGAAACGCACATACAGGATCCGAGTAAAGTCATTTATCTGATTTCGCCTTGTCAAAACAAAGAAGCAGCTCGATTTACTCTTCGTGTATCCGGTAGCTCTGATGCTGCTTCCAGGGGTCTCGCTGGTGTAGGTATAGCATTGAGTCGTAGGGCAGAACAATCTCTCCTTGACTGGATCCCTGTAGATAGTCGCTTGTGCGCCGTCCGACTAAACGGGACAGTAAGGACTCGGAAAGGTAGGAACAGGAAAAAGCCTGCGCAACGACCGTGAACAATGGTGGGTGGCGAAAGCAAAGGCGATGGAAAAGGCAGCGGCGATAGGCAACAGTAGACAACTTTTCCGCCTTAGCAAAGAAACCAATATTAGAAATCCATCTGTTAGCGAAACTATCTCAGAAAAGGATGGCTGTATCATTCATTCTCAATCCAGGAGACTGGATCGATGGGCAGAACACTTTAGGGATCAATTCAACTAGCTTCGAGCCAATCTTCAGTTACCCACGACCTCCAGTCATCCTGAATGGGGAATGGATATAGGTCCACTGAGTCTTTACGAAGTTGAAAAAGCGTTAGGAAATCTGCAGCGAGGGCGAGCTGCAGATCCTGATAGACTGACCCCTGAGATATTTAAAGATGGTGGTCCAGTTTTAGCAGCTAGGTTGACTGAGATCTTAGGTAGAATCTGGGGACTGGACGTAATCCCATCCGACTAGTCTTAATCACTGATTGTCCCAATCTATAAGAAAGGACAAAAGTCTTCTTGTGACAATCACAGGGGAATCAGTCTAACTAAAATAGTTTCTAAATTGTTAGCCTAGATTATAATTAGACGCCTTACTAGTGCTCATGAAGAGCAGACTAGAGAAAACCAGGCTGGTTTCCGACCTGGACGTCGCTGTATAGACCACATCTTCGCACTACGACAGGTCTTGGAACACAGACACACATTTAGGCGTCCGAATATAGTTGTCTTCCTGGACCTAAAAGCGGCATTTGACTCAGTGGATCGTGAGGTTCTGTGACAGTGTCTGTTATTGAAAGGTGTACATTAACCTTATACTAGCTCTCTACTCGAACACCACTAATCGAGTGAGAGCTTATGGCGAACTGTCACCGGAATTCTTTACTTCAAGTGGTGTCCGTCAGTGATGTCCACTCTCTCCATTCTTGTTTAATTTTATCATAGACATGCTCTTAGAAATAACCTTATCCTCGTCTAAATTTTCAGGAGTAGACCTTCTACCAGGTGGCTCGCTTATCGCCTTACAATATGCCGATGACATAGTTCTATTCGGTGAAGACGCTGACAAAATGCAGAGTCTTCTCACCACCCTAAGCAACAATACAAGCATGTTCGGGATGCGGTTCTCACCCTCGAAATGCGAAATGTTACTTCAAGATTGGGTTGCATCAACACCTGAACTGGAGATAGGGAGTGAAGTAGTTGTGCGTGTAGACCGCTTCACTTATCTTGGGGGTCTCATCACTGATGATGGCCTGGTGACTGACGAAATCTCAGCTCGGATACAGAAAGCTCGATTGGCTTTTGCCAACCTGCGTCACCTATGGCGCAGGCGAGATATTCGTTTGCTAACCAGAGGACGAGTGTACTGTGCAGCAGTTCGCTCCGTCCTACTGTACGGATGCGAGACTTGGCCGTTAAGAGTAGAGGACATTCATAGGTTACTAGTCTTCGATCATCGATGTCTCCAAAGCATTGCTCGTGTATCATGGGACAACCGTATAAGAAATGCTGTCGTTAGGAAACGAGTTCTAGGTAGGGATGGCAAATCAACAGATGAAGTAGTGAAACTTCATCAGTTGAGGTGGTTGGGACGTGTTACGTATGGCTAACCACCGACTGCCTCGACGAGCTGTTTTGTGGTGTAGGAGTAGGTTGGAAGAAAGTTAGGTGAGGCCAGACCAAAACATGGCAGAAATCCATGAAGTCACTGACAAGTGGACTGAGTCATGTTGGTAGATGTAGGCTACCTGGTTGGGGTCCGCGAGACGAAAGTCATCAATGGTTAGAGAGCTTGTACGAAATGGCTCATAATCGTTTGCAATGGCGCAGGTGCATCCACTCTTTGTGTGCTTTTTAATTCTAACTTTCTGAATTCCTCATAATCTCTACCTTTCTCTTCCTAAAGTTATCTCACTGAATTATACTTCTCGAATCATATCTCCGCTCCACAATCTTCTCCATTACTGCTAATACTTCTATTATTGCTATCACTGTTGGATTTGAACTGACAGTTGCGTCTCTGTGCTGATGGGGCATGGCAACCTAAACTGATGTACTTACGTACGAAGTTCTGTGTTATATCTGTCTGTCTGTCTCCTAATCTCTGTATACTGACTGATATGAATTCCTGGATCGGCCTACATATCAAAGAACATGGAGGATATAAATTGTATCAAATTTCTCTTATTTCAGCCGCTGATATTTAGGCTTAGTTAGTTTATACCCAGATCAATCACAATCCTGAAAGCTGATGTAAGGAGCATCTTTGGTGCCTTGGTGATGTTGGCTTGGCTGTCAATGGTCTGATCTATACGCCGCTAGGAACAGTGGAGAGGTAGTCAGTGTATGACATGGTGTCGCGGTAAAGGACTGGTTTCTGTTGGTACTTTAAGACTCCCTTGTCTGGGTACCAGAGATGATGCTATTCAGTGGCTTGTGACTTTATCATATGTGGCTCAGAATAGACGCTAGAGGCGCTCCTATTGTAGATTTCCTCATATCAGAAGGCGGAACTTCTTTAACTGAGAAAACTCTTTCTCGTTTCCTTTTTCTTCACTGAAATCATCGTAATGATTATCACTCCAGTACACTAATTTATATTCATTTCGTTCATTTTTTTATATATTCAACTAAACTTCCTTACAATTTAATTGTATAGTGAATATACATACCAACGTAGAATACCAGTGAAGAAACCGAATATCGATAGGTTTATGAACATCACTTATCGACAACAGACACTTATAAATGGTCAGTTTATCATTTTTAAAGTTCGACTTATTTCACTCAATGGTTCATCGGCACAAAACTTGGCTTTTTTAATTAGTTGGGAGATGTGACCATCAACTGCAACACTCAGTGGCTTAGTGATATTGTTTTATGAAACCCATCATTCAACTTATCAGTTTAAGTTGGCTAAGCCAGTTATAAGCAACGTCGTCAGTCAGTTACAACGTAGAACTTCGTACGTAAGTAAGCGACGTCGAACTTGGCATACATGTGCATCGGTTCTAATTCCCACACCACAACAGTAACTGCCACCTTGATGTGATAGTCGTGGTTGCTTACTACGATGTCCCAAACGAGTCATGCTGGTTAAAGCACTTGTTTTGTAGGTTCAAGAACGCATGACAAGTCTACGGTATAACAATAACTTAGTCTTACTGTCGGTCATATAAGAGTATGACCGTATGAAAACGTTTCCCCAGACAATTGGAATCTGCAGAAACTTCCTACAAAGGAAGACTAGAAAAAGCACATTCGAAAATAGCAGAACTCAACTTGCCTTACGGATCCCCGTCACCTACAAGATCCTCAAAGTGTGCAACTAGCATATCAAGAACAAATGACAAAAATGCCGAGTACGATCGTCGTCAAGTAGTTCTTTGGGTTCTATGTTTAGAGGTTACGATTCTCTTCATCATGTGTGTATGTGAGAAACTTCTAATTAAGAACTGAAGTCCATAAACAGCATTCATCGGTATTCTTAAGTTCGCGATTCATGAAACGGGAATATTTCTTTCTATAACGAACCAAATAGTCAGTCACTCATCATAACTGACATAAGACCTGGCACAAACGTTCGTTGGTTCACGTTGTTATATCATATCAAAAGGAACCAGGAAGAATTACAGTTAATACGATTCATCTGTTACTCATCATAAAAAGGAATAAACTTTGGTCGAACCTAAAGATTAAACGTTTTCATTTAATCAATACTCATACTCTTCAGTTTGTTAACAGTATAATGACAATTACCATGTGCTCACTAGTGACAGGTTTCGTGCGGTGATTCTTGGAATTCAAGTGAGAAGTCGTGACCGGTGCAGTTCAAACCAGTCTGGTGTGAGACAGTTACCAACCAAAGAGAGCGAATGAGGTAGCGCAATGTTGAAGATTGATTCAAATTAGACTATTGGATGTCAGCTCAGTGGTATAGAGGTTAAGTGTTCGCGTACGAGACCGAAGGTCCTGGGTTCGATTCCCATCTGTAGGGTCGTGGGTGCGCACTGCTGATGAAATAATTGCTTTATAAATCGGTACTTCTGAATATTTATATTTATTATAATTATGAAAGTTACAAAAAGGATAAGAAGGAAAATATGTTTATGAATACTTCAGCTACATGGAAAATACCGGTATACTATGTATAATATGTGAACCAACGTGTACCAATATTTATCTGTGTCGGGTTTAGATTTGACTTCACAGGTAACGACACATTTAATTAACCTTTTGAAAATATTCCTTGTACTTTTTCAAATCTGGTTTTATTGTTGGACTTTTTGGTTGCCAATCTGCTGGACAAACTAAAATAAACGAGTAAATGTGTATGAAACGGAAACTATCAGTCGAGGGTAATTAAAATCATGAAAAGGTGAAAATTTATCTTTAAAGAAGTGGTGTAAGTAAGAAGTAATATGAGTACACATGATACAGTTACTGATTAAAATTATGAGTGAATACAGCTGTAAAAGAATTTGAAGCTATTCAACATTACTTTGAAGACTAACCAAAATGCTGATACTTTTCGACAGGACCTTATGGATACATCTGAATATTTTCAAACTCCTGAGGTATAGCTACAAAAATGCAACTTAGCAGCTAGATTAGTATACTACATATTAAGTTACGTCGATGTCAGGATAGTAAAATCTAGCTAAATGGAGTAGAGCAAGAACTACTGACTAAATTTATCCGATGGAAGCTGAATACCTAAACTAGCAAGTTACAGCTTTAAGTCACTGAACCATGATGATTCACTTTTCTAACTTTGTCTACTTCATAATATTGCTCAGTGCAACATTAGTAACAAAAGAACTCATGAACAGTATTACTGACCAAGCTAATATCCATGGCAATAACAACGAAAACAATAAACGGCGTATAAATTACCGCCACTTAATGAAACGAGCGATTACATGCGAACTGTATTGACAGAAATCAGTAATCGAATCGATCCACAGTGAATTAAGGACGAATTAACCTTGTTTCTTGTTTGGGATGTTCCTTAATAATTTATTTCCTGAATATTTTAACACCGTTAGGTCGAAGCTTTGCTCTTAAGTAGGTAATTTTAAAAGATATTGTTGGGGCTGCACAAACTTGGTTTGAAAATCCCTGAATTGTGAATGTAAACATTCCGAATAGTTTGCAAGTTATACCGTTTCCAATTAGTTTGAGTCAGTAAATTTCAGTGACTGAATGAATGTGTAAAAACCAGGTAAAAATAATTCCGGAAAATTACCTTCACCATGCTTATCTGTAAACTGGAACGCTTTGACCAATCTCAAAACTTCATCGACAGATCTTCCGACAGGAAGATCGTTAATAGTAATCTGTCGAATAATGCCCTCGGGATTTATGATAAATAAACCACGAAGAGCAACGCCTAACTCTTCCTGGAGGATTCCATAATCCTGTGTGATTTTTTTCTGATAGTCTGCCAAAAGTGGATAGCGCAGACCGCCTAAACCACCTTCCTGGTTAAAAGAAAATGTGAAATCGCTGAAGAAAATCAGAGATGACAAACAACTAGGACAGTTTAAGAAAATCCACAGTAAGTTATATTTTTAGATCCAATTAATAATACACTGCACAAACCAGGTACTAACAGTACATCACTAACTATAACCATTGGAGATGGCAATTTTTGGAATATTGAGAGATTTACATACCCATATAGTTAAATAAAATTTTTGCATTATAGCTGATGTCGTTTCAAGATTAAAATTAATAACTCTAATATCTAAGGCTTACATTCAGCTCCAAATCCTATTCCTCAGACTAATTCACAACCCTAATAAGCAGGTATTGGTTGAAAATAAACTTATTTGTGTACTACTATTAGAGGCTTATATGCTTAAACTCCATTTAAAAAAAAAATTTCATAATTATTTAGATAAAACGAATCACGGCGCAGGTGCATCCACTCTCCGTGTTCTCCCAGATTCTAACCTTCTGAATTCCCAATTATCTCTACCTTTTTCTTTTTAAAGTTATCTCACTGAACTATACTTCTTGAACAATATCTTCGAGCCTTAATATTCCCCATTACCGATAATATTGTTACAAGCATTTTACATTATATCTCTGTGCTGATGTGGTATGGCAACCTGAACTGATGTACGTGCATACGAAGTTCAAAGTTGTAACTGACTGACTGACTGACCGCAAACCTAAGGGAATTAACGGAAAAGCTGATGCAATCTGGGTATGGAAACAGGATACAAGAAAAATGAACAGTGTTCTCTGGAATTAAAAAGAATAATCTCATGTGGAAAGAAATACTTGAAAATCCGATATAAAAGTCAATAACAATTTGAAGTTGTTAAGTTCTACGAACAGGAATGATTTAAATTAGTATCCAGCTGAAACTACTCTGAACAGAGATTATTTACGAAAGTGGCATATGTCAGTGCACGTAACTTGACAAAATGCGGTAAATTTGCTAAGCTGTTTACTGATGAAGTTCAAATTAGAACCAAATAGTCTTACTTTACGTGGGGTATTTATCCAAGCGAGATGGCTGAAATGCGAATCAGTTGAAACACCAACAACTTCAACCCCTTCATTTTTGAATTCATCAATTCGATCAGAAAATGCAGTTAACTCAGTCGGACACACAAAAGTAAAATCCAGAGGATAGAAAAAAAGGACTAAGTATTTCCCAGTATAATCTTTCAGCTTTATTTCTTTAAATTGGCCATCCACCACTGCCATCCCACTAAAGTCAGGAGCTGGACGCTGAACATGAGCTGCGTAACCACGACACAATAAACTTGAGGCAGACGACCAATTGTATCGTGAAGCACCTTTAATTAATCGTTGAAGTAACATTTCCGAATGTGACAATTTAATATGCGGTAGATGTGTGCAGTACAGATATACCTACAAACCAAAGAAACATAAAACTAGAAACGTTATAAAAATATTCTGGGATGACTAAGTAATCATTTCGATAACGAAACTAGAATCTATGAATGAACCAAACACGTTTGAGAAAACGGGTCTTGGATTATGAAGCGAGATTTATACATTCTAATGGAATAAAATTTTAGCTTTAGAGCTTGTCATTTTAATATAAAAATCGGTAACTCTAATTTTGAACGCGTACATCCAGATCTTAATCCTACTCCTAATACCTCAATCGAATTTATAACCCTTTTTGACCCTAGTAAGTAGGTGAATATCCTCAAGGTTACTTTGGAGTCTTGGCATTTCATCCATACATTATGGGCTTACTGGAGTGTCTAAATAAAATTTTTATTTAAATTTGCACACTTACAGAGACGTGTCTTTTGAGGCTACAAACGACCTATGAGAATCCTACAGCTTAAATCGGCACTTAACCAAGTTCAGCGTCCAATCATGTATTGGTGGGTATATGTAGCTTATGTAGGTTATTTTAGTGGATTTTCGTCCTCCAAGCTACGCTATTTGATCTTTTCGTCTCTTTCTCTTCTGAATAGCATCGTCATCACAAACCACAGGTCTTAATATTTCCAATGTCATATTCATGAGCTAGCATGAAGCAGTTGATTTCTTTGCTCTCCATTTGTGTTCTTTCGGTACGGTTCCAGGTATCTGGTAGTGTAGAGTATTCGAATTTTCCTACACATACCTATCAGATTATTTTGCCAACGTCGATCTTCACTAGTTATTCTCAATCTATAGAGTTATTAACTAGCTCCGCATTTTGATTGTAGCTCCATTTGATATGATTCTTTTATATATTTATCCATGAATTTTCTGATCAGTCGAACTCTGTGCTTCGTCGCTTTTTTCCAAAATATGTATTTCGGAGGATTTCCAGGGGTTCTTAGGATGCCATATATCACTGAAAGGTCATATCTGAAGTGCAACTACGGTTATTGACATGTCATTTGCGAGATCAAAGAACTGATTTTGGGGCTCGCCTACGGATGTGCTACAGTATAGTTTTATCCTCTTGAGGTAGAGAGGTCAATACTGTAGTTTTGTGCAATACATGGGCTCGGATAAATAGGTTTAAAGATGACTTACAAGTTCTATTGTGTGAACAATAACGAAAGTTACCAAACTTGCAGAGAACGCGCTCAACAAATAGCAGCATAAGGTTTGCCCCGAAAGATATCGCTTAAAAATTAGCCGAAACCTTCTTTCCTGAGGTACCTAAACTTGTTTTCTGGTTAGAATGTCTCCAGTCGTGAGTTTTCCAAGACATATATGTGGTTCGCCACATTCTTAAGGTGTTTAGGTTCAGAGTTTAAAGTATCGAAAGCTAGTCCATCGTCATCAACACGATTTTTAAGTGGACCCAGATCTTCATATTATTCAGAAAATTCTCTCCAAAACTTAAAATCATCGGTAAAATGTAAAGACTAAGTGAAAGGTTATTTTTTAAACTTGAAAGAATTGTCACGGTAATGAACCCTGCAGAGAAAAAGCCTTCACTCCGGGCATAAGAAGCATACTAATTTTATATGGCTTAAAGCAGTTTGTCAGTGCGGACTGAATCTTATTTGCAATTTCTCGTCCACGAGCTATTATTAGATATCTGATTTTTTTGAAGATGGGCTCATATTGCTTCCAGGTACTCAGTAATAACTCTCGACATCAGCTTACAGACAGGAACCGAATAACTGAACTGACTAGAGGCTTTGGAGAAATCACGGTACATCGCTTCTATCTACAGTAGTCTATGGTTGCCCGAAATGTACCAACATCAAAACTCTGTTACAAAAAGAATTATTTAGACAACGGGTCATTTTCAGCAATTTGACTGAGCACAAAATTTGAGACTCTGCATTGATGGTGTCGGGGTTCCTCATTGGATTTTAAATTTGGGAGAACAATCGAAGAAGTCTAGATACGCGCCTTTCCCATATATCCTAAGAGGAAAGCAATTTATTTGGGTAAGGAAAGGCTGTATTATTAATTAAATTTTACAAATCATTACCTGAAAAATATTACACTGTTCTTTAACACAATTTAACACAACGCGTTTCCAATTCTGGAAGAATTCTCCCATAATTCCAAAATTTCACCCTACTAGTCCAGATTCAAGGTTCAGCGCCCAGAGTGTCAAATTTGATACGGCTGACGCCATAATTAAGTATCAATTTAAACAGCATAATACAGTTCAAAGTTCTCTTCGCGTTGCTGCCATTTTTCTAAATACCCTACTCCCCATGTAATGCCTACTGTCTCCTTTAATAAAATCTTGGTATATGGATTTGTTTTGATATACATGACGGAACCGTATGGAAAATTTAGTGGTGATCATAGTCAATCTGGTATCTCTCACCACTAAAATTGGTGAGCAGACGTTTCTTCTAAAGAAGTCAATTACGATGAGTCTGTTACAATCATAATAAGAATTTATTTATTCTCAAATAACTACTTCACAAGAGTCACGCCAGTTTACAGGCTAGATCAAAAATGCCTTCACATTTACTGTAAAAGTTATAGCATTTAAATTAAGTATAAGAGTCAGTTTCTGATAGCATATTTACACCGTGTCACTGAAAGAAACAGTATAATACAGCCACATTTTCAATAGTAGAGTACAAATAAGGAAGGTGCACAATAGGTTCTTTTGGCGATTTGCCGAGATCAATAGTGAATTGGTTGGGAAAAGTAAAATGGAACGCGCTTGATACGAGTTGTGATCCAGACAGTTATGTTCGTAGGGTGCATGTTCCCTAGAGTCGCCAAGGATTTCCCACCGTGAATAGGGTTCTGAAAAGAGGAAAAGAGAAAGAGAAAAAAGGCAGCAGTGTGTCAAGTGTATGTATATAACCAAAGCACTACTTAACCTGTCACTGTTGAAGTATTCAGTGCAGTAGTAAGTCAAGATAAAATTCGTACTGACCACTTAAATTAAAGTAGATTATGGGAATATAAGGATATAACCCATAGATAAAGGAGTATAGCATAAAAGAAGGAAGAGTTTTGCAGTGTCAGGTGGATAGAAGAGAAGTCGAAGTAAGAAGCTGGGTTTACGTACGTTGAAATCAAAAGAGTAGAGTTTGTAGAAAGAAAATATTGATGGTTAAGAGTTCTCACTGTCTAACTGTTCTTTTTAATTATTATTATTAAATGCCAACCTCTAAGTCATACTGTAAGCGCCTGAGTAAGAATGTTGCGTGTGTCTCCATAGAATAGCGACCACAGCATAGTTTTGGAAACATGAACCTCAGAAGTAGCGTATAAGAGCAACCTCAGCGTTACTGATTAGTCGTCTCATCAATCTAAAGAGCCGAAAGCAAACAAAATGTTCTGCCACACAAACATGGGTGGTTTGAAGTCATCGCCCACACCATCAATGTTTGCTGGTCAGTAACTCCACCCTCGCTCCTTTTGTGTTGTTAGGCTCATGTTAAATGTTTAAAAGAAACTGTTGAGTTCTACTTGGTCCTCTATGTCTCACATCCTGTTGAGAAACAATATTTCTGCAAGTTCCTTTCACAAACTCGTCCGGCTGTTACAACTTATGAACTATTGGTTAGGCATCAATGCAATACAGTTAACAGTTATGGAGAAATAGTACGGATTTTCAAACAAGATTTAAGCATTCAGAATGTAGTGGGGGAGATTTACTTAACTAGCTAAGCAGGAGACATAAAGAGTATCACGGTTAAAAATGGAGCAATAGATAATACTAAGGGATCAAGGTAAGTCAATAGCTTGTAAGCGAGAACAGTATAAATGGTAATAGGCAATGTGAAACTCACATAGTTGTAAGTGTTGATAAGGTTGCGCGCAGGAAAGTAGAGTGTGTTCTAATCAACCAGTTTACAGTTGAACAGTGTTGATCGACTCAGTTAGTAGAGTAACCTGTCTATTTCAAATAAAAACTAAAGAGATTTATATTCGACTAGAAAAATTTAATGCTACTTGGGAGGGTAAAAATAACTAAATAAGACGCAGCACTGAGTTCATTGTGTTTAAAGTTTATGCAGAGCTATTAATATGGAAGCAGGGTGCGAGTGAGCTCACGAGTGCAGAAGAGTCAGTGCAACTGAGAGCATCATTAAGAAGTAGAACAAACTCATGTAACCCACTTGCCATGAGTATTTTTGAGGGAAGCCTATTCCATGTAAGTGCATACTTAGAGAGGAAGAAGTTTTCTCGAGTTTTGGATCTATATTTCTCTAGTTTGACCGTAGATACTTTATCTCGAAGGTTATGTGTACATGGGCCATGGATAAGGATTAAACTACAGGAGGAATATGTGAGACTGTGCAGGAGTTTAAAGTAAAGGATCAGATTGGACTTAAGACTTCTTTTCCATGATGGATCAAGCCCGAGTCCATTAATTCGAGTTGGATAGTCGATGAGTGAGCTATGATTTAGGACTTTCCGAGTAAAGTTCCTTTGTATTCCTTTAAGCTTCAACATATCAGACAGGCGTAAGTTAGAAAATAAGAAAGAGCAGTATTCAGTGTAGATGGATTTTCTACTGTAGCAGTTCAATTTGTTTCCAGTAAGTGTAAGTCGAACGCGCTATCCCCCAATCCAATATCAAAACACAATAATTCTAGGAGAAAGCGGTCTATATTATGTTAAAATGGAAATACAAACCAATACCTGACTTTTGATGCACTTTCCAAGTCCCAATTACTCTGATGAGTATCCGAGTTTAAAAGAATAAGTGATGTTAGATCCAACCGCCACAGTATCAACCCAAATATGGCTGTAGCCATATTAAAGATCAAATTTAAACAACATATATACAGTTCAGAAGCAAACATAAAAACTTCAATATAAGTACAAAATATAGAAATAATAACAATACAATGATAAAATCTCAAATTGGAATCAAATAAAATACCAAAATGTCAACAGAAAGAGTCCGTCATGTCATAACAAAATATATATAAACATGGAGGGATTTTCCAAAAAACAAAACATTCAAAAAAGATTCTACATTCAGCATGTTACACACACACACACGTTTTACACATGTTTTGTAGAGAACTGTTCTGGATGCTCTAGGAAGGAAGTTACGAAAGATGAAACCAAGCATTCTTCTCATTCCTTAGCACGAGGACTTCAATTTCTTTTGGTCTGAAAAGTAAATGAACACTACCCAAACTATCAACTGTTACTACTGTGCGATAGTGTTCAGCGCTTGCAGGTTTCTGGTTCAGATGGGCAGTAAAATGGGCACTAAAATTTTCGATCATCTCTAGGTTGGTAAGACAATCTCATTTGAAGCCCATAGTTTGTAGGTTTTTACTTGGCCGTGAACTGACACAGATATTATGAAGTACCTAGTGTAGAATTATTTCGCCGGTGGCTGTCCTAATCGCGTCCAATAGAAACACTCCTGTACGTTACTCCTAGATCCAGGTCCCAGCCAAATCAAAAGGTCAAAATTTCTAGGAGAAAACGTCTCTTATTAATATAAAATGGAAATACAGAGGCTTACGGTATTTTTGTTTCTTCCAGGACTAAATTACTCCGTAGAGTATCTAGTACAATAGCTAGTAAGTGACACTAAGTCCAGCAGCCACCGCGTCTATCCA